CCCTCTGAGCCTGCTCCCCCTCAAACACACAGTGCCCTCGGAGCCTGTTCCCCCCCACACACATAGCTGCCTCAGAGCCACTTCACCTCCCACATGGACCACAGGGCCTGGTCCCCCCCCACACACAGGGTCCCCCAGACCATACCCCTCCTTCCCTGTGTTCCCAGGGCCAGGCCAGCTGGCAGAGGGCGCAGGATTTGGCAGGACCAGAGCTGCAGCTTAGATGAGAATGAGCCATTACTTGGGGGGAAGGGGCTGAAGGGACTAACGGGGAGAAAGAAACGGTCAGCTTGAGGTGGGGAGGGGGCCAAAGAGGGCTCTGGGGAGCAGGGGAGGGGATGGCCCAGGGTTGGGAGGGACAGTGCCCCCCCTCCCCCACAAGCTCCGGCCATGCTGCTCTCCTGGACACTCCCTGGGATTGTTTCCTTCCTGGCCGGGGTCCAGGATCCCCCGGCGCCATTTACAGCTTCCGATGAGCTTCCTGCAGCGCGGCCTGGAGCCGCCAGCCCCGTGGGCACACGTGCCAGGGCAGGGGGAGAGACACACCCCCAACAATCCCTGCCCCCAGGGCTAAGGGAGGGGACAGCATCCCCCCAAACAGGTTCCTCCAGCACCGTCCCGGCCAGGCCCCCACACACCAACCCCTGCTGCCCCCCCGCCGCCCCCCGGCCCCTCACCCGGCAGGCAGGCACACTCGTAGCTCAGCTCCCCGGTCTGGCGACACGTGCCCCCATTGAGGCACTGCGAGGGCGCACAGGGTGTGTAGATGCTCTCGCACAGCTGCCCCGTGAAGCCGGCCGGGCATTGGCAGCGGAAGGAGCCCGGCGTATTGAAGCAGGTGCCCCCATGGCGGCAGACGCCCGGTGCCCGGCACTCGTCCACGTCCGTGCGGCAGTTGCGGCCCTGGTAGCCTGGCGGGCAGGTGCAGTTGTAGCGGCTGTTCCAGTTGGTGCAACGGGCCCCGTTGGCGCAGGGGTTGTTGGCGCAGGCATCACCCAGGGAGCAGTCCTGACCTGGGGGGGGATGTCTGTGAGCGGGGCCTGGTTGGGCATGAGGACACCCCAGACAGCCCTTCCCCCTAGGCCTAGCAGGTCCCCGCTCCGGGGCCAAGATGTGCCCAGCCCTCCTCCCACGCCAGCCAGTCAGGTTCCGTTCCCCTCCCCCAGCTGGGCTGAGGGTCCCTCCCCATCTCCCACAGCACCCCCATGGCCATCCCCCATCTCCCCTAGGCCTGCGTGGCATGGGTTCTCCTCTCCGGCCTGGTCAGATCCTGGCCCCTCCTCCAACCGGGCCAAGCTGGTCCCACCCCCTCCCCAGCCTCCCCTAGAGCAGCATGCCCCCCGCCTACATGACCCTCACCTCGGAAGCCTTTGGGACAGGTGCACTGGTACTGCACGGTGCCATCCTTGAGGGAGCTTTCACACACGCCCCCATTGGCACAGGGCGACTGGTGGCAGGGGTCCTGGAACTGGCAACGCTCGCCAATCAGCCCAGGCTGGCACCTGCAGAGAGGGGGCACACTGGTGTGAGTCCCTCCCGCCTGGAACCAGTGCAGGAAGGACACATGCCCATCACCACTGCATCTGGGCGCCTTATACATCACGTCACTGGCAATGAAGTTCCTAGGGGCAGCATCATGGAGTCTCCGGCTGGTCTGCTTTTCCAGGGCAGGGTGGGGGGGCTAGAGTCCATCAATTTCCTCTGCTTTTATTGGTTGCCAGGGGTTCCTGAAGGGGGGGCGGGGGTTGTCTCTGGCCCAACCCATCCCCCCACTGTGCTCTGTGGGTGGGCACCCAGCCCTGCACTCAGCACCCAACCATGGGCCCCTATGCCACAACACATCGGCCACCTCCATCCCTGCAGCTCCATCAAACTGCCCCCAGGGTAGCCTGGCCCTCATGCAGTTGGTGCTGGTCCTGGGGTCTGCCCCAGATCTCAGGTTATTCCCTCCAACAGACATTGCTTGGCATTGCTCCGCTCCCAACACCCCCTACCCTGTGCTGCCCATTCGCCCTGTGGGCTTAGCTCCCCCTGCAGGGCCTCAACTGGCACCAGCTTGGACTCATCATTGTGCTAGCTGCTCACAAGCCCCCTTCTTGTTCCCCCAGCCCTTGCCAGATCTCCACTGAAGCCTTTAACCCTCCTCTCTGCTCCCCCCAGGGGGAGCCTCCCAGCCTCGGCCTATAGCCCTGGCCAGGGGAGAAGGGGCCGTTGAGTCTGACTTTGCTTCCTGCCCCCTGAGGATTGGTCTGCTGGCAAACCAGACTGGGCTCGGCATCAGGGTACAGCTCCAAGCATGGGGGAAGCTGTGCCAATGTAAAGGGGCTCCCCACTGTGTAGCTATCCCTGCACAGGGAAGGAGACGTGCTACACCAGTACAAGGCACCTTTATAGCAGCAGAGCGGCACCCTCACGTGAGGCTGTATTGGTAACCCCGGATCGGCAGAGAATCACCCCCACCCGCTACAAACTGTGCAGAGCAGGCGTCAGCCAATTCAGGACCGACTCCCTGGGCCCCCCGTACCCTGTCATTCCTCAGAGCCCGCCTGCTGCTGCACCTTTTAGCACCTGCCCGACCCCAGACCCTGTTCTGACCCCGGGACCTCATTGGCTAGAGCTGGTCCGCAGGGGCGGCCCCAGGACCCCGCTCTGACCCAGGGACCCACTGCCTAGAGCTGGTCTGCAGGGGCGACCCTAGAATCCCACTCTGACCCCGGGACCCCACTGCCTAGAGCTCGTCGCAGGGGCACCCACTCCCAGTGGAACCTGGTCCAGCCAGCAGGTCCGCACCTCTCTCTGGGAGAGCCTGGTGAGGGGTTCTCTGCCCCGCCCCCCAGCTTCACCTCCTCGGGGCGCATGCAGAAGGAGTAGGGTACAGAGTCCCTCCTGCCCCCCACAATCCCCCCCCCGTCACGCAGGGGCCCTGAACTCTGCCCCAGAGGGCCACATCCTATGGGACTGAGCCAGAGCAGACCCAGCCCCCCAGTGAGCAGGGCCCAGCTCACATGTCTCTAGCTAGCCAAGCTGAAGCAGGCATCCTGGGAGCTCTGCAATGGGGAGGCGACAGGAGGGGCTGACCTGGGCTCTGCATGCACCACAGGGCTGGGTCCAAGACCCACGGCGTGCAGGGGCTGAGGAGGGGAGGGCAGCCAAGCCTGCCGGGCTGAGCCAGGCCGGACAGGACCATCCTGCCTCCCCAGCCCCAGTTCTGGGCTCGCTCCTGACGACAGCCCAGGGTCCAGGATGGAGCCAGCGCTGGGCAGCACCTGGTGCTCCCCGTCAGGCTGGGCCGGCTCCAGAGGGCACCGGCTGGGGGGAGCCGCACCACAGCCTGGGTACTGGTCCACAGATTATACCCCCCAATCCGCTCCCATCTCTGGCTCAGCCCCAGCCCCAGCCAACCCCCACCCCCGCCTGCCGTTACCAGGGCAACGCAGAACACCTGTTTGCTCTGCTGTCCAGGCCCTCAATTCCAGGGGGGAGGAGAACCCTGCAGCAGAAACAGGGGGGGCGCTCAATTCACCCTAGAGCAGCACGGGGGCTCCCAGCCTGCTCTATACAGCACCCCCTGCTGGGAGAGGCTGGGACTGGAGGAGCTCCTGCCCCGCTCCCTCCAACGCCCCCTGCAGGCAGGTACCACAGGACAGCAGGGACTCTGCCCAGGCCTGGAATTACACCAGCTCCCCAGAGCGCTGGGCCCTTCCCGGTGACCCAAGCCCTACCCCACAGAGCTGGGGGCATGGTCCAACAAGGAAAGAAAAGAGGGCAGCGCGGTGCTAGAGCACACATGGTGCTAGGGGCACAGACGGGGCGGGGGAGAGGGATGGTGAGGCAAGAGACAGCGCAGGCCAGATCCCCCCTGCCTGCCAGACCCACAGGCCCATCCAGCCTTGTAGCCCTTCTCTCCTGCCCCACTGGACCAGATGGGAGCCATGGGCCCATCTAGACCATAACCCCCCTGCCCCAAGCTCAGACCCACTGACCAATACTGCCTGTAGGAACTCCATCCCCTCCCCATCCCCTGGTGTGCTGGTCCCTGCCTGACCCTCATGCCCTGGAGCCTGCAGATGGCTATGCCTGCCTCAGTAACAGCCACAGCAAATGCCACCGATCAGCCCAGGCCACAGCCCCCCCAGCAGTGACATGGGCAGCTCCACTGGCCCCAGTACAGACCAGGAATGCCCGACGGACCCCCCATCCCTGTCCTGCTCACTCCATTTTGGGCTCCCTCCAGCAGCACTTGGTAAGATGCCAACTCCCCTCTCCCTGCATGTGGGGGGGGGGCCATCCTGAATGCAGGGCTGGGGCTGGCAGAGCTTCCCACCCTATCCACCCACCCAGCCCCTGGAAAGGGAAAGGGGATGTGGGGACAGGCGTCCCTGTGGCAGGGAGCAGAAGGGGAGCAGGGCCCTGTATCCCAGCACCAGGCAGCGCCCTCCCCTGCAGGCAGAGCCAGGCTCCCACGCTGGGAAGGCAGCCCCCTTCCCAGCCCCTTGGCAGTGCTCCTGCCTGCTCATGTCTAGGGAGTGGAGCCCGGCATCCAGCCCACTCCATGGGGCGGTGACTCAGCGGCTCCACTGCCACATCACCCCATGAGTCACCCCGGCGGCTGCCTCAGGCACCCACTCCTGGAGGGATGGGATGCCCCTGGGCACGAGAGCGCACAGGGGCACAACTTCCCCCGATACCTCCCAGCCGCAGGAGGCAGCAGCCAGCTTTAGAGGATAGAACCCAGGAGTCCTGCCTCCCAGCCTGCCTCCCTGTGCTCTGACCACCAAGCCACACTGCCCGTCTGCTCCCAGAATGCCCCTTCGCCTGGCAGATGGGGGCTACCCTGGCATGTGCCCCCTCCCATCCCCCAGTGGTCTCTGCTGCACTCCCTGACCTCACCCCCCTGTTCCAATTCCATCCTCCCACATGCATTCCCCAGCAGCCCCCTCCACATCCATCCCCACTCCCCCCACCCCAGCAGCCCCTGCTCCAATCCTGTCCACCACCTACACACTCCCCATGGGCCCCTCCCCCATCCATCCTCACTCCCCCCACCCCATCTCCCATCAGTCCCTGCTCCAATCCTGTCCCCCACCTCCCCACTTCTCCAACTCCCACGCTCATTCGGCGCCCCCTCCTGCGGCGCCTGGGCGGGCACAATCCAGCCTAAACTAGTCCCCCCTTCTCGCCCCGAGGGCGCCTGGCAGAGGGACCCAGGCAGCAAACCCAGTTCCAGGCTGGCACAGTAGGGCCCATGGGGCACATGGGGCCCACGGGGAGCTGCCCCCCTGTGAGGGGCCCCGCACACTGGGGAGGAGGGGGGCAGATTTCTGGCACTGGGACGGAGATACATTTCCCCCCCTCTCCGTCCTCCCTGAGCCGGTTCCAACCCGTTCGACAGGTTCCAGCAGCACCAGCACCATGCTGAGCCAAAGGGCAGGGAGAGCCCCCTGGCCACTCCTCTCTGCTCCCTGCCACGCCCGTCCTGCCCCCCTGGCCGCTCCTCTCTG